TTGCATGTTGAAGCCTGTACATTACTGTAGTAACCTACTACTACAGTACAGTACATCCCTGAGTATATTTTGGAGCATTAGCCCTGGTGTGGCTCTGCTATGCTAACATTCCTGATTGTTTTCAATGAGATTTTTAAATAAGTCCTGACACTGGAGAATGGAGCTATTCCTGTCACCACTCCCTCTTCTCCTCCCCTCATCTTCTCGTCACCCACAGTCACATCCATCCCTATACTTCCTCCTTTCTTCCCCCCTCCTCTTCCTCTGTCTCCACACGTCACCGTCTCTCCCTGGGCATACATCCCTTTAATATTCTCTCCTTCTTCTTCTTCTCCTTCTTCTCTGCCCATCATGAGGGTCTCTGCATCTTTGCATCCTGACCGCTCCCTGTTGACATTCTGATGATGCTGTTCTGGGCAACTCCCAAACAACTTGCCCCTTAGCTCCTCCACCCGCACACCCCCGCTCCCCCCTTCCCTCCTTGCCTATGCTATAAATATCAGGCAGGGGTGAGTCATCGCCTAGACGTATCAGTATCCCATTGCCTCTCTTCCCCCGCACCCTTCGCCTCACTGCTCAAGCTCATTAGCGAGAGACCTCACACATTTTCCCACTTTCACTTTGGCCCTCACACAGAAACAAAGAGAGAAAGAGAGAGGGACGAGATGAGACAGATGATCCAGCTGAGATTAGAGCGGGGACAGACACAGCTGGCGTGGCACGGCCGCCGTCACAGGCGTCACACTCAGCACATTATAACTGAGGAATGAAAAACTGGCAGGAATGTGAGCAGTGGTGATAAAAAAAGAACAACCAAATAGAATCATTTCACACTCACTCGATGTCTGTTTATGTGCTTTAGCCAGTGCTTTCCCTAATTATCTGAGAAGTGCAGCGAGAGTCCAGTAACACATTTGACTGAGCTTCAGAGGAAGAGATGAGGACCGAAAATAATAACAAAGACACAATAAAGGAATGGAAGAAAGGATGGGAGCAAAGGGAGAAGGAATGCGAAAATAAAACTGAGGGGAGGGACAAAAGAAAGAAGGGAAGTATTAAAGGATTGTAGGGATGGAAAAAGGATGGAAGGAAGGAAGGAAGGAGGGGAGGAAGGGAGGAATGGTGAAAGAAAGGAAGGCACGAAGGAAAGAAATTAAAGAGGAAGGAAGAAGAAGAATGATAGAATCCAAGGGAAGGCCCAAGGAAGTAAGGACAGTAAGCAGAGGAAACAAAGGAAGAAACAATAGAAAGAAAAATCACCTTTGATTGCCAAACACTTAGAGTAGATTGGTTGTTGCCATCTGTGTAGCAGTAGATGGAAAATAAAATTAAAAAATAAGAGCAATAATAATATTAATAATAATATGAATAATGATAATAATGTTTAGGCAAAGAAAGCCTATTGAGTTGTTGGAATTGAGCTATGAACAGAAAAGTAGCTCTCAGCCACTTTTATTTTGAAATACTAGCTCTTGGAGAACAAAAGGTTGGAGACCCCTGCTGTACACTATGTCAACAGTGCAGCAGAAGACTGAATGATGTCTCTGTTGGATGGATCCATGTCTCTGTGGTCCAGTCTCATCACTCTTTCTCCTGAGCCTTCTTCAGCCACCATTCTCCAGAGTGAGGAAGAACCTCCATTCATTTTTGTGTAAACTCCACTACGGCTTTTTCTCTCTCACTCCCTCTCTCTCTCTCTCTCTCTCTCACACACACACACACACTCTGGAGTGCGCACATGAATCACAAAGACAGGGCTTTTATGAGTCATAAGTCTAGAGGACGAGAGAGCTCAATGGAACTGGAGAGAACGCGACACGTGAACGCTAATAAAGACGCAGAGAGACAAACCTTATCTGTTCAATATACAGTGTCCTTCATCGTGTACTTCTGATTGGTGCTTTTGTTGCTGTGGTGAAGCCGCTCGTCTCTGTGTTTGTGTGTGTATGTCAGCACCAGTGGGCTAATGAAGGCAGTATTATGCCTCTGACTCACTCAGTCCCATAGGGTCGGTTGGATGGAGAGAGAAGAAGATAAGGGTCTGATAAAATCTCACATCTTCGTGGTCTTGCAGTAATATTTCTAATGAAAAACGCCAGGGCAGAATTAAAAAAACAAAAAAGTCATTTAGCCACACATAATCGGACAGGCTTTTTTCTATGAGAGGTTTAGTTGATGTACGTATGTGATCGGTGCTCACATTCTACTTATCAAATCCTACTAATTTGATGTTTTTGTCTAATCCTGGAGGTTAATCTGCGTGGGATTCTAAAGCTACTTGTGTATGAACTCATTTTTCCAGACGAGCTCAATCAGAAATATTCGAAGAACACATTTGTGATGTTCATCAAACGGCTTGTCAACCTGCTCCTGTGAAGAACCTGAAAGGTT